GTGTGTGTGTGTGTGTAGTCTGGAAAGACAAAATACATCATCGGACCAGAAATCATCTTTTAATACTAATTGTAGGTATCAATATGCAAATTCTGCCTCCCCAGAAGGAATTTCTACGATGATCAAACTTTTATTTTGTTAATCTACTGATTGTGTTCATGTTTTCCGGTATCTAGTCATTAGTGTCACGCTACCTATTATCGACATTATCATTTTCCTCCCTGTGTTGGCCCAATCGACTCCCTCCTTGAACTGTAAACCTGTGCTTCATTGTCATTTGTGTGCGTGTGTGTGTGTGTGTGTGTGTGTGTGTGTGTGTTTGGTTCTCCCACTTCTATTCAATACTTATCAGATCCTACTTTTCCGATGTTTAATTTAATCACTTTCTCAGTGCTCCCATTTTTGACGTTTAGATTTTCTGCTACTTCGGCCTCTAGTGCCAAATAAAACATGGTCCATTCTTGGCTATTTTCTACAAATGGGTCCGCCTAAAGAGCAACTTTTTCCATTTCCGCACCTCCATGCTGACCAAGTGTGTGGCGGTCAGAGGCGTATTGATTTAAAAAGTGTTCTATTAGTATAAATTATTGTGTTGTTGTACGACATCATTATCATGTTTTAATAAATGAATTCCAAATGCTTAATTTCCAAATTTGACATATACTAAAATTATTAAAATATAAATTCAATGAAATTATAAATTCAAAATTACACTCTGCTGTATATTTTGGTTGCACACCACACAAACAACCCGACCACACACATTCACACGTAAGAAGTACTCTGGTGCACAATGCCCATACACTGACTGCACCCATGAGCTGAGTCTTGTTCGAAACTACGTAGTTTCAATTCATACTGGTCTATAACTCCAGACGTAACTCCGTTTCCACAAATTCAAGTACTTACAGATGAGTTACTGACACCCCCAATTAACACCATTCATATTTTTTTTTCTTGACTTTAAAATCAAGCAGCGGGGTGTTACGTAATGTTCTTCAAGTGTCGCTAGTTACACTGGTGCAGTCGAGTAGAGATCTGCACTTCTTCTCACACATGGTTTTATGGTATGTAACTAACAATCTCTTTGCCGAGAAAATCTGAGTCACAGAAGCGTGATGGTCGCCCACTCTGTAGAGTTAACACATTCAAGCTGCTTGTATCCAGTGTCATGTTCTTTCAATGACTGCCATCAACATGAACATTGAATAGCGTGTTGAAAATAAGGTCAGTTGTATGTATTTAGTGTGTATAAATGTTAAGCTCATTTCTATGTAGTGCAGCTTCGTTTTTGATATCCTAAATATTGATTGTGTGTCTGTATTTTTTTTTTTTAGAAACAGTTATCATCATGGCGATGGTGATAAATTATAAAGAGGCGAACTCGCAAAAGTAAGAATCAGAACCAAGAATAAATTACAAAAAAACCTAGGAATGGACACTCACCTTTTTGCCTGCAATATAGCCTCCAGCAGCCCCAAAGCTCTTGGTGAAGGTGCCCATCATTACGTCCACGTCTGCTGGGTTGACCCCAAACAGCTCTGTCACGCCCCTCCCTCCCGGCCCAACTGCACCGATGCTGTGGGCCTCATCCAGGTACAGACATGCCTTATATCTCTTCTTCAGAGCGATCAGTTCGGGTAGTCGTACCACTGAGCCTTCCATGCTAACATCAAAGGAAGGGGTTCGTGAGAAAAGTTTGAATGCAATGACAGTTTGGAAACACTTTTGTAAGTTAAGTAACATCAAGTGACGCAACAATCAATGAACATGCAGTAAACGTCATCATTCAGAGGGGCTAAGTGACTCCCGCAAAAGGCAAAGGAAAAACGAGCTACGAATCAAAGGAGCTCGGAGTGTAGCCGAATCAACCACCACTTAACCTTGATTTGGAGCTAGAGTAATTAAGCAGATGAAGTCACTGAGACACGGCTCTTTTCAACTCTCTTCTGAAATTGACACACAAAGTCTCTGTTAAGACCACCTGGAAGCCTTTAGTTAGTAAGCTATACCAACTGACACCAGATAAATGTCTGAGGGACAATTGTACAGTGTAAGTGAAATATATGTGGCGTAAAAGCAACTGACCTATAGATGCCTTCAACCATAATCAGGATTTTCCTCCAGGGCCTGTGGGTTCGAGGCTGCCCTGAGCAGATTGAGTCTCTTAACTCTTTCTCTAAATGGACCATGTCTTCCACATACAACACACAGACACAGATTTTTACAACAGTTGTAAACTAAAGGTTAATGGGTTCAGACCAAAATCATTCATCCACTCACCAAATTTCACACGAGTGATTAACTTTTCACTTCTAGAATGATGAATATCAACATTACATTTCTAAAATAACTCATTTCAGAAACTCCAGGAGGCTATATGGGTTGATATCGTAAAATTCATCACATGCACAAGCTCTTGATTTCATGATGGTGACCCTATTCATGTCACTTATTCAATCAACCAGCAGATGGCGCTATTCAACAACTGGAGTTACAAGATGTATAGACAGGGCCCTCTCATCGCCCTGCTCATCAGACCTAACAATCCGTCACAGACCAATACCAGCCTTTACTCACGAGGAAATAGATGCTTTTCCGATAGTTTTGTTTCCTGGTAGAGCAGACTACAACTATTCATTTGACCAAAGTCGTCACGGTGGGGACTAATTAAACTTGTCACGGAAAAGACTGTTTGCCAGTAAATGAGTTATTGATTTGAGAGAAGCCACAGCCTCATGTGTCATATTGGATAAGCATTCTTCCAGCCATGTGCAGTCATGTGCCATCGCATCTCTTTGACTCAGCTTAATGTTCGAAAATGTTACTGAACTTTAGACAAACAGTATTAGCAGAGCAACAACGATAATGTACATACTTCATGTCTGTGATGGCATGAGACTACACAGATCATTTTATTGGCTTTTTGTAAAGGGCGCTTGTGCTGACAACCCAAGGAATATCACTGAATGTTAATTATTAATCTGGGGTGTGGCACAGTGGGCTGGTATAGCCCTTTTTGTAAATATGCGCCTTGCTCTCTCGTAAGAGTGCACGAGGAGTGAGTGTAAGAAGTACAAAGGCAGCAAGAGGTCATTTGTTCAGGTGCCTCAGGGCTCTTTGCCCTGCGAGAGATGCTTGAAAATACCTATAACTGACTTGGCTTGTACCTGTCAGAATGCATTTAGCACTAGTGGACTGTCTCGTTTGTCCTATCTGCTGAAAGAGCAGCCGATGTTCCCTTATCTGAGGACAGCAAATGATTTGTCTTTCATGTTTAATACATCCTTATGGCCTTTATTGAAAAGGAAAAAAAATACACGTGCTTTGACAATTCAATAGCAGGGTGAATTGCAACAAGATTGACATTTTCATTTAAGTACACATCCAGCTTTTCCGCTGCTGGATAAACACGGCCGTGACTGTAAAGTGAACCCTTTTCATTAAAGCCTTCACAATTGCTGATCCAAACATAGAATGTTAAGTAGGTCTTTCCTGAGGCAAATCCTGTGCTGTGGAGAAGTAATGTTTTCCTTACAGCACAAATAGTTTGGAATTAATAGATGTTAATGAATAGAGTTGATACTAAGTAGATACTGCAGTTGAGGGCACTGATAAATGCTTTTATAAACCTTGCACGATCAAAAGTCTTTGACTTAGTTACGATAGGAATTGTTGTTAACAATAAAAAAGCAAGGGAGCAATAAATTAAAGCATGTATTTATACACACATTTACACATGATGCTCTTTTCAAAGATGAAAATCGAAATATATTCATGGCAAACATTCACACAGGCATCACCTCAACTGGCCATGCCAGCTGTGACTCACCATTGTGTTTGAACACCTTGATGGTTGCTCCTGACAATCGAGCCCCTAAGATAAGAGAAGTGTGGTTGAGCTCATCACTCAGGATCAAACAGCCCTGGGAAGGAAAAGTTTGAAACGCAATTAGTCCTAAGTGAAAAGAGTAAATCACAACAGCCAAACTGCTGCATAAGAGCGGCTACGGCGTCTTCCCCAAGGTATCTTTACAATTAAACACATATTCGTACGAAAGCAGTTGATGAGACATGTTAATCGGTATGTATTCAGCAGTTATCTAGGTTTTTAAATCGCATTGAATTTGTGTATTACCGATACCCTGTTGATAAAACAGGTCCTGATAAACAAACACTGGGAAATGGCGCATTTATCATTTCGTAAAGTCTTTATGGGCAGTCTATATTGGTGTGCACATTGAGCGAACCGCAAAGCCTTCTCCACTATTTTAGCATCACACCGATACACTAATAAGCATATGACATCAAACTGTACGTTCAAATGAATTCTCATTGAGGGTGTGCTGACACCATCTCAGTGACAGAAACCCTCCCTTGGGCCTCAGATCCAACTGGCCTGGTCCCTGGACCAACAGCAGCTGTCACTCTAATGCAAGGACTGTCCTGTTTTGGCATCGCATCGTCGGTCGGAGTTGGCAGCGTCGTTGACCCTCCCTGCCCCTGCAGGGCTACAGTGGGGGTTGCAACCTCTTGAGCTGCATAAATGCTGCCACACTTTGGTCAATTCAACGGTCCCCTTCGTCCTGTCCGGTCCAATCAGATATCCATGCTGCACGTTGCCCCCGGTAACCTGTGAGCGTCTGTGTGAGCTTGACTGGTGCGCCGACAGGCAAGCGTATGGCTAATAATACCCTTGAGAGGTGCTCTTAACAAAAACGTGCCCCCTCCCTGTCAGTGTGTGTGAAGGCAACTACTGTATGTATACCCAGAGCCTCAACCTCCTGGCGAGTGTTAGGTTTAATTATCATTATTTTAATTAATGGGGTGAGTCGGGATCTGTTCAGAACTGAGTTGACTGTTATTCATTCACTTGGGTCGTATGCAAGACAGCAGCAAAAGCTTGGCTAATTAGATTAATTACATCGCCTTTGTTGCCGTATTCAGTATCACAGTTGGATTTTCTTTCACTGTGTGACATACCTTGCCAACAAGTGCGGGAATGTTCATGGAGTTGGTGGCAAAACCCATCCCAAACACCATGGAGGACTCCACTCCCAGGAAGCGCGCCACTAGATATTCAAGCTCTACATGAATGTCCAGCGTACCTAAGTGACAGATATCACACAGTTGAATCAAACAGACGTATAGCATTGTTCATACTGAGATCCATCCGTCTTTTCGTGTTCTGTATTGCTTATCCTGTTCGGCCCAAGCAGTGAAAAGCAGGCAACATTCTGGAGAGGTCACCAGTCACAAAGTGGGAATTGATTCCACTAGTACACTCTACCACTGACCACTTGCAAACATCAATTTTAGTTTACAGAAAAAAACTAACAAAAAAACCCCAAAATAAAGGCTGAACTTTGAGTGCACTTACTTTACAAGCTTTGCATAGGCTTTTATTCTGATAAGCAAAATTACCAAACAGTGCGGCAAGCACATTTTGGAAGCCAATATAAAAGTGTGGACTTAAAAAAAAAACGAACATGGCAACGCAGCTGTGTCTTTCCAGTGATTTTCATTACGTTTGAATCCATACAGCATTGTGCCGAGTCACATTGATTTATGAGTTTCATCAACAAGGCTGAAAGCCTGAGTGCACCATTTTTCATCAATACCGCACGTTGTCTTTACAATCTTGATAATGCTCTTCATGATCAAAATTGAGCCTTAATATCTTGGTAAAGGCAGACAGGGTAAAGCCCTTGAACGAGATCTCATTAGATGTGTGTATGTAGCATATAGTGGTCTGTTCTATGCCATTACAGTCGGTCACATTCAGAACTCAGAAAAGCACAGACAGACCAAAGATCAGATTTACAAAGTCTTTCTGTTGGTTGTTTACTTCCTTTTTTCATTTAAAGAACGTGAATGAAGGCTTGAAAGTTGTTGGGGTTTTTTTTTACAACTAGACGAGGAAAAAGAAGTCCCAGAGAAGGGTTAATAATTTGCATTTACAACCTTGACTCACTGTCATAAAAGAAGTGCCTTTATATAGTAGCCTGTTTTTCCACACATGGATCAAATGTGCTCTTCGGCTACACCGTCAGACTTCTTTGTAGTTAGCCATTCATCTGTGTTTGTATCAATACCTAAGTAATGATTGTGGGATAAGTCGAACCATGAGTTATTCATCAACTCCTTAAATGTTTGACATGTTTGTCTTTTTAAAACATTAGGCTTGATAACAGTTGCAAAATAAATGTCAGAAATGCTTCTAACTACAAGTGTCATGATTCTGTTTTTGTGCGTCTCCAGCAGGTGGCAGGGGAGGGCTTTCCCTTCAGTATGCGCACCTGCTGCACGTCTCAATTAGTCATGGATTGAAGGACTGTCAAGCTTTCGTCGGATTATTCTTCTTCTTGCTCATGACTTTGTCTCCAAGTGTTGAATTCTCTAAACATTCTTTCTGATTCATGTCACGTGGTTTTTCTCCTCGTTTTTGCATTTTGATCGTAAATATTTTTATTGTGTAAATATAGTCTCGGTTTTGTATCTGTCGCGGTTTGGCTTATTTCTTGTCTTTTTATGATGAGCTATTTACATTCTACTTTCCTTGCCTTTTGCAAGTGTTTCTGGTTTGATTCATTTTTCCTGGTTTTGGTAAGCAGTGCCATTTTTGGGACTTTGTTCGGTCTTGCGTATGTTTGTATAATAAACTATATACCGTATTTTCCGGGCAGTGTCACTATTGCATAAAGAACATGCTAACAAGTTTATCAAATCGTCAGTGTCTCTCCAAATCACTAAATCCAATGAAATCTTCATCCTCGGTGTCTGCTTGAAACAAGTCTGCCAACTCTGGAGGTAGAAGATATGGCGCTTCCTATTCTACATCGCTTACATCACTCATTGTCGACTTATCAACAGGCCTAGAGCGCCCTCTTGCGGTTTAGTGTGAAAATAACATGTGAAATGATATAATAATGTGCTAATAATTTCACACATTAATCGCACCAGAGTATACTGTAAGTCGCACCCCCGGCCAAACCAAACTATGAAAAAAACTGTGATATATAATCCGAAAAATATGGTATATATATATATATATATATATATATATATAGTTCAACCCCTTCTGAGTCCATGTTTCTCAAGTCCGATTTTGTTCCGGAACCGTAACAAGATTTCCCTTTAATGTGCAAAGTAAGTAGTATGGAAGTTGCTCTAGCACAGCATATTCTTAGCCAGGCGTTGCCGGCTTCTCAGGGCATTGTGAGCAGGCATGCTGTCACGGTGAAGCATCTACGCATTTTTCTGCCACAACTCTCTCACCTCTTCTTGTGCACTGAACGAAACAAACACAGAAGAATATTTTCGTCAACCTCCTTGTTGGTCATCTGGTCCATAATGAAGGGGTAAGCCTAATAGTGTTTGATATTACTTTATACATCTTTTGTAACAGCAGTCCTGGACCTTTTCTGACCTTGTATGTATGTTCTTTATTTGCTACCTGTAATGTAGCTTCAAACTGAAAGGTAACCAAATAAAATCCGAGTTTCAAAAATAAGCCCGTCATGACGGAGCAGTACAACGCTGTTTGGAGTAATGTGACAAAGGCATAATGATGTAGCAAACAGGTTTTTGTGAAGTAAAAAAAAAAAAAAAAAGGATAGATCATATAAATAATTTCAAAACTGTTTCCACAATGAATGTGACCTGTAATGTATACAGCTCAATTGAAAAAGGTACAAAAGTGTGGTGATGTGGCTGGGTTCAAAATTAACCAATCATATTCCAACTTATGTTAAAAGGGAGTCACCATACCAAATAAAGTTCGGATGTTCTAGTTGTCTTTTCCTGGCATTTTTCTGGGGGATTTTGAGCAGAAGGCCGACAGTTTTGTGCTACTTCTGACTGATACCGTATTTTCTGGACTATAAGTCACTCCTAAGTATAAGTTGCACCAGCCATAAAATGCATAATAAAGAACAAAAAAACATACATAAGTCACACTGGAATATAAGTCGCATTTTGGGGGGAAATTTATGTGATAAAATCCAACCCGAAGAACAGATATGTCATCTTGAAAGGCAATTTAAAAAAAAATAAAATAGAAAACAACATGCTGAATAAGTGTACAATATGCTAACGTTACATGACGCATAAACGACGAACTGACAATGTGCCTGGTATGTTCAAGTAACATATTAAGAGTTATTCAGATAACTATAGCATAAAGAATGTAATAAGCGGTGTTGTGCGTTTGGCAAAGATACATTTTGCTATTATGGACAGCAACAAAAAAGTTGATGTTGCTTTCATCAGACCATACCACATTTTACCAAATAAATGTGTTCCGAATTGCTCAGGTGTGTTCATTTTCTTTCTCAGATTTCTTGCCATCCTACCCCTTGGCTATGACATAAAGAAGTCAAAAGATTGTTATCCCACAATTTGTTCAACGTTGCTGTTGGCAGCTTCCCGGACCAGTTTTCTTATCTTTTCATCAGTTTTGGAAGGACATTGAGTTCTTCTTGTCACTTTTGTGCCAAACAGTATTTTCCCCACTTGATGATTATTGTCTTCACTCTGTTCTATGGTACAATTAATGGCTTAAAAATTCCCTTGCATACATTTCCTGCCTGATACCACGAACAATACGATTCCAAAGCAATAGTGAAAGGAAAAGTGTACTCGAAAAGCTAAAGTTTATATGGGGTTAATCAGAGGCAGTTGAGTGCCAGAATCATTTGAATTGATTCCTTTCATTGTTTGATTTTGTTACACAGGACAGCACTGTCATTTGTCCAAAGATATTTTCACATTTTGGGGCAAAATTAGTCACTACAAAATTAAGACGCAGGAACAATCGCTTGAGCCATACCTTGCCACACCTTGTGACATTGTCCCAGGTACATTCAGTTACGACAAGAATGTTGGTTACATTCCGTGGAAAGATATGACAAGAAACTCTCATCCTGATCAATGCCTACTAAGGTCTCATGGAACAAATACTTGCGACTCCTTTCACTCCCAGTCTTGAGGGAAAGGAATAACAACATCAATAAATGAAATGAAATGAACTATTGATAACATATTTCGGGCATTTTAAAATGGACAGAAAAATACATTCCATAAATAATAACCACAATGTTTTTAATTCCTCCTTCTTATCGTTAAGCCTAATATAATTTGATTATCATGTTCGATTGTTTTTGGAAAACAAGAAAAGCACAACAAATTTAAAGGAGAATAATTTGCCTAGATTCATCCTTCCCAGATTAATATGAAGGAAAAAAAATATCTATCTATCTATCTATCTATCTATATATATATATATATATATATATATATTCTTAGCACAAACATATTGTCACAGTAAGTTTTAAAATGACGTATACTATGAGGCTAACGTCCGTCTAATCATGCAATACGCAGTGGTGTCATCTCAGCTCGGAGGCGTCATAGAGTAAACAGAACTAACAGAGGGCGAGTGAGATTGACGTTTTCTCCAACTTTCCCAAAATGCAACCTGTTTGGTGAGTTGCTGCACCGTGTTTACATTTCGGCAGCGGGTTGATGGTCTCAGGCATCAGATTACGTGACAGGAACGCTGGAATACAACAACACGAAATCCCAGCACTCACCGCCGCTGCCACCTCATCAAGAAACTAGACAAGATTTACAGACGATCCAGTGCTATTCAAAATTCCTCCGAAAGCCCAAATACGCCTGCCTTTGATCCAAGTCACGCTAACACTTCTCACATGTGCTCTTTTTTGCATCTCCGCCTCATGTCCATGGCGTTTCATAACATTATAAGATATCATTTCCCCATCGCGCTGGACGAGCTTATAATGATCTCAGCTTGTGCTCAGGCGGTGCATAATTTAACAAAGGGTGAATAATTCATATAACATTGCAGCTACTGAGAGATAATTAAACTTGCAGACAGTATAAATCACCAGAAAGATAATAAATGATGGCATCGGCGATGAGGGAAATGGGAGTTTCATTTGTAGTTTGCGACTTGGCGTATTCGTGCTCTGTCAGTGTTTTGAAGCAGATGCACGCTGATGACTTCTGAAGTAGTGGAAGACACCGCCATCTGGATTAATGGCCTTGCTCAAACTAGCTCAACAGGACAAGAGAGGTGCTCACGTTCATTATTTATTTTTGCGTCTATCCCAAATGCAACACGGACCGCACGCTTACCTGTTTCCTGCCGTGTGCTACAAACGCCGACCCCGTAATGGCGTGCTTTGTCTGCCACCGTTTCAAGGTAATCGGCAGTGTTCTCCGCAAAGCCGAGGTAGTTGTAGGAGCCCATGTTGATCACGTTGTGGATTGTCCTGCCAGTTAATCTGCAAGCAATTCAACATTAGGAGAGCCATTAGTATTTTACTTGTTTCCCCTGCACACGGAGCCGTTCCATTACACTGTATTAAAAGCATATAAATGTCCAATTGTGAAGTTTCAAATATGAAATCATTATTTCGGTGGTGATTTATTCATAAGCTGTGCAACAACAGATGTTTATTAAAGAAGGAAGACCATTTCTTCAGCTGGAGCGTGAATCAAATCGCTTTACAACTCAATTTAGAACTAAAACTGTAGATCGGAGTTGAATTTCAAGCACAGAAGTCAATAAATGTCCAAGTGATGCACGAGTGAATGTATACCAAGTTAATTCGGGTTAAGTGTACACTCTTCTTTCAGTGTAGTCGAACAAAATCAACCATCTCTTTACTCACTCCTTTTTAAATCACAACATCCCTGCAAAATCACAATGAAACTTTAACTTATCATCATTAAAACCAGTAATTACCCCAATTCTGTGATTGATATGTCATATCCTCTCCTCATGCCGCTGCTTATTTTAAGATTTTCTCAAGCTGTGAGCAAAATCATCGCAAGTAAATGGGACAGGATGGAGTAACCTCGCCATTACACCTACGGTAACTCAACTCCCTTTATATTTCACTTTCACAGCAGCTGCGGCAATACGCAAGTCATATAATAATAATCCTCATCATCATCATAAATGTATAAATCTTCTCCATTCAAAGTACAATATAGCTTATCATGTTAGAACCCAGAACTGCAATGTTTCCTGCTGATCTATCGCAAACCTAAGCAGATGGAACCATACTTACAGTGGAGTTGAACTAGTGGTGAATTAAGTTGGTAAGTTACAATTTCATCAACAAAAAGTGTCACCATGTCGGCAAAATTCAGGAACGGTGTGCCACTTTTGGCATGGGAGATCGCGCAGAGATACTTCGCTAATTTCACTGGTAATACGTTAATATTTTGTCTATAATGAATTTGATAACGGCTCATGGGATATTTGCAAACTGGGCTGTGATTAGTCCCTGAACATGTGATGTCATTTTCAGTTGACAGCAAGTGGCAAAATGTGTTTTTAAAGATGTTAATAGTACATGGAAAATAATGACGTTATCAAATTTGTTACAGACAATATTAACTTTTTACTGCTGGAAATGGCAAAAATTATTCACGTATCCCTTGAAGAAGTGCAACAAAAACTGTGACATCTGATCTGCACATGCACAAATATCTGCTGTCTTCTTCCCACAAAGGTGGAAGAGTAGAATGGTCCAAAGTATCTTTAGCTAAATATGTGCATCTTTTGTATATACTATAAGATGCCTTTGTCTCTGATAAATCACATTCTCTTTTTTTTAACTGCGCTAATGTCTTGCTGAAGTCTTCAGGCGGCTTGTACTGAAATTCAGGCTGAAAGATTGGGCTAGTTTGTCAAAGCTGTCAGTACCTAAATGTCCAGTTGTAGTCATCAGAAACCCTCTCCATCAAGTCAATGACAGGCCCCGGCAGGCTGCATAGCGGCCGGTTCCAGTTGTCTCGTACTCTCATGTACAAGTTTCGAGTGTAGAAGTTCTCAAAGTCTTGGTAAAGTGGTACAAACTCCTGGAAGCAGAGAAAGTCATACTTTGAGCTTTGGTCAACTTTATTTGACACCTTCCTCTAACCTAGTCATGTGATTAAGACTGCGGAAACAAACTAAGCGCGTTATCGTTATCGTTCCACAAGGTATTTCTTGTCTTTAGTTCGTCAGTTCTTGCTCATGCATAGGAAGTTACTGTATTGGCCCGAATATAAGACGGCCCTGATTATAAGACGACCCCCTCTTTTTCAAGACTCAAATTTGAAAAAAATACTTTTTGAACACCAAATTAATTTTTATACAGAAAATAATTTCAGTACATCTGAAACAAATGATTATAACAATATATTTGAGAGAAAAAGAATGTTATTTTGCCTCATTCAAATCTTCGACCCACTTTTCTCTGGATTGTCGCTACGTTTCTCCATTTTCTGTTATCCCTTCTTTTATTTTCTTCTCTTTTCTTTCTAACCGCTATTTTTTATTTTTCTTCTTCGTGCTACCGCTTTTTTTATTTTTATTCTTCGTGACAGGGGTTCACTTTGGCCTGGGGAGTCAAGTTCAGCATTCGCATCAATGATATCTTGCGCCATCTAGCGTCGTGAATGGGTATAATGTCTAGACCCCGAATATAAGACGACCCCCACTTTTTCAGTCTTATTTCGATACAAAAAACACCGTCTTATATTTGGGCCAATACGGTATATACACTGACTATAGTCACCGCATGACTTGTTTCATTACAGAAAATCGGTTAGTATAACCTCCCAATTCTTAGTTGCATTTAACTCCCGTCTTCACTCTGTGGCAGTACAGCAGCAGTGTACGGCAGAGTTTCACGTCTTGTCTAACATGTGAAGCACAAAAACATAGCGGTATCTTGACTCCTTTGAGATTTAATGAGGTCCTCAGCAGATTCCCCCTCCGGTGTGCTGTCTCACCGCAGGCAACATTCGTGTGAAGCGGTACTGTACATACCTGAAGGAGAAAGAGCTAAAGAGCAAGCATTTAAAATAATTGGGGCAAAATACAAAGCGTTGACACTCAAGGCACGCGCACAGCCAACTGTGCATTTGTGTGACTGCGCATGACGTGCGTATGCAGGCAATATGTTGATGACAGGAATGACAGCAACGTACCTTCTGTTCCTCTCGTTCCTGTGCGAGATTGCGCTTCTCTAAGCCCACAGCTCTGAGGAAGTCTCTGAAGTAGCCAAAGAGGGTGACGATGCCAAAGCCCAGATATGTCAAGACAGCCACGTGCATGGGCGCCTTTTCAAAATCTTCCTGTCTGTGCTGGCCAGAGGTGACTCCTGGCCCCCCGACATGTTTCTATACAACAAGACACCAACATCAGCAGACATACAGTATATTGTAACCTAGAAAAGAGAGAGCAACACCGTTTGAGTCAGTACTCTGTCCTTTTTTGTTTTGTTTTTTTTTTTTTGGGTGTAAGTATGCTTCCCTAAGCCTACTGTTTTGAGGAAGTCTCTCAGGTAGACAAACGGAATGACAATACTCGAGCGCAGGTATAAAGGGACAGCCACGGGCATGGGCACGTGTTCAGACGACTCCAGTCTGCGCTACCTGGAGGAAGCAATCAGCTCCGACCCGTACGATGCAACAAGAAGTCGACATAATTTAAACAAAAGGCAGCAATAGCATTCGTGTGGCTTGATTGCAAACACAAACTAAGCGGTGTTAAATGCAATGACAAGAAAACATCTATACTATGATCATAATCTATTATGTAAATGGGAATTTTATACGTGCAGCAATAAAAAAAAGGTGTGAGTGTGAGCGCGGGTGGTTGTTCGTCTCTGTGTACCCTGCGATTGGCTGGCAACGGGTTCAGGGTGTCCCCCGCCTACTGCCCGAAGACAGCTGGGATAGGCTCCAGCACCCCCGCGACCCTTGTGAGGATAAGCGGATTGGAAAATGAATGAATGAATGATTGAATGCACATCCATTTTCTTCACACACATTGGGATCTAGAGAGATAATTGTGCATTTAAATATATTTTTGTTAGCTGACAAGTGCCTAATCATTTGTGAAAATGCAACAGTCATGAAGTGCTGATTAATTTATGCATTCAAAATAATAACTGCAACTGTCGATTACATTTTTCCAAGACCTTTATTGCTTTTCTCAAAAAAAAAAAAGTTAACAAAAAATGTTTTGTAACTGTAGCTGTAAACTGTAGCCAAACCACATTCATGACAACAACAAAAAAACGTGGGTAATGACAAACCACATGCACATTAACCCCAAAATAGTACAAGCAGGCCCCAAGGTGGAACAAAATCAGCGCAACCAAACTTCGCAGAGTTGCTTCCTCATTTCCACAGCCTGCAGGCAAAGAAAACCAACCTGCCTTGATTTGGAGGTAAACTAACAAGGGCGGGGTCTCTTCCTACTTTAGGACGGTTTAATCTGACGTGCTTCCGAGCAAATAACATACCCGATCGCACAAACTTGCTTTTAGAAATGACTTGAAGGTGCCCAAAAAGTCATGCCGATACGCTCAACAATTAACAGTACTCCCTTAATAATATAAAAGATACAACATAGTGAGTAGGTGAGCACACATTTTGCTTACGTCACCTAGCGGCTCGTATCGGGATATAAACATAAAATAATCTTTATTAAAAGCTCTTCCAAAACAGTATGTCAAGTTCACTTGCACACCTATGAAGCCGTATTTGCGTCCATACCTGTGTGGTGTTGTGACAGATGTGTATATCTTTGCATTTTAGTCCGTTTTGGTCCGGGTGGGTTAACGTTTCCATGAGGGGCTGGTCGTATCATACTCCCCCCTCCTGCACGTCGGCGAGTGTGTCGGTTGTCAACTTTCAGCAGGTATCAAGGTGCCTTGACTTCCTCCTTGTACCGCGTCACTGTCAGCCTCCCATTGTTTTATTTTTACTTCCACGACAGCACAAGCACAGGGCAATAATTTCCCTCCTTTAGCGTACTACAATGTGGATGAAATGCCGAATAGAAAATGATGCACTGCAGACATCGTAAAATCATGAATCCAAATCCTAAACAATATTTAGTTACCTTTCAGAAAATATTGGTATAATGTTGGTCAAATGCTAAAAACAACAAAATTTTTGCTTGCGCACGCACAAGTCAATCCTTCATTGCATTTCAAGGGGAAAAATGCTGTATTTTAGCATTTAGCCTGCATTTTATTAATACGTTGTACGAATGTACTTTGTAAATACTTTCGAACGAGTTTGCCAGTCAAAAAATGTTTCCTCCCCATTGGCAGTTCTGCGCTTCCCCCGTACTTATGCTTGTGGTGTGCATCATACTTTTATTCAAAAAATGAGAAAACCTCTCAAGTAATTGAAGTCATAAAAAATATTTGGTTTTTTATTGTTAGGTCAATCCAAAGTTGTTAACTTGTTCCTGTTCATCTGTTGGAATATAAAAAGTGATCATCAATGCCTCAGGTGTGCGTCTTCTGCATAGTAAAAGATAACTGCATCAATACCATCATTGTTATTTACTAATAGACATAGATTTTGCACAGTATGTCAAAATTGGTTAATGACACAGAAAGAGATAACGTTCGGACAAATTATGCATGTCCTGTAAGTGTGATTATCTCACTCTCATAAATACAATACATCTTTATTGATATAGTACTTTCTCAACAGCTGCAGGTTGAACAAATTGCTTTACAGAACACATATCATTAAAATATGAACAATCATACAGCATACACATAATCTAAAACAATAGTACAATACAGTACACCATTCCTACATATGCCATGTGGTTTGAAGCGGGTTCGATGAAAGAGGCGAGATTCAATCGCTTTTCACCACGGGGTCAGAGGTGTCATGATCACAGCATGAATGACGTCACACACGTCTGCTCCAAGCTAAGTTTGAAAGAAAACAAGCAGCTGTAGTATGAGCTACAGTCTCATCTATTATCCTTCCCTCTATACTGATTGTGCACATTTGACTATATCATGCTACAACTTGGAGCAAGGGACATTTTAGTGACTCATGTCTTTCGAATGGGGATCATTTATTATTGGAGGTACAAGGCTATCCTTGACACAATTTCCCACGTTCTTTATCTCAATAGAAATGTTCTCTCTATTCCAATCATATTGCTTCTGAGACTGCACTGGCCAATGTTCGGGTTGTTCTGTGGCATGACGCACAAAATCAGCTGTCATTTACAGATCTGAGCTGCCAGTAGCTCCCTTGTTAGGGAGGGTGCTCGTGGGAGGTGGGGTGCAGCCTGACACATGAATGAAGACAGTATAGGACCGCTGGAAGATCAGGGGAATTTTCGATTAAAGAAAAAAACAGAAAAGAAGATACAGTGCTGTGGAACATTCCTGCTGGGTGGAATCCAGCTGTTAGAGAGAGAATAAATGAAATGAGGAGAGGCCACCACCGTCTTAGTACACTGCATTTAAGGGATCTGATTCTTCACATCCTCCAACCTCCATTTGCTGTCTTGAATGGAAATGTTTTGCTTCTTATTCTACAGGATTGGAAGGAATGTATTTCTCATTTCGCTGCATAGGCCACTTGCATAGGGGCCATATGAGGCAGTGGCACCAACTTTGTCGTGTAGATAGTGAAAGGATAGATAGGAAATGGTTATGAGTAAGAATGTGATAACTATAAATAGGTAAAGTCAGATTCAGCATATCTATTTTTCTTGATGAGCAAAAAGGAATAATAAAATATTGCAGGCACAACAAATGACATCACAATCCAATGGAACCCCCCCCCACACACACACATACACGCACACACATTATAAGCCCCAGATGGTGATAACGCTATAATATAATAATGTAATAATTCTACAGCAATGCAAAGCAGAGCCACAATATAAAACATATCATATATCTATATATATATATATATATATATATATATATATATATACACACACACACACATGTGTGTGTGTGTGTGTGTGTGTGTGTGTGAGTGTTTATGTTTCCTGTAAGGTAGTTACTGTGTTGTGCTCAAATTGTCACCACAAGTCTTCCTGTATATTCCGCCGTGTTTCAATGAAAGTATCACTCAGAAAGCATGTTTCTCAGTGCACTAGATGATAGGACTTCATTTCCCCATTTAAAATATATCCTGGTTGCTATTGATTGATGGTTTAATTTCCTTGCAGGATTGATCATTTCATTTCCGAAGCCCCAGTTTCCCTTCCCTGTATTTACCATTAGATTAATAAATGCACATGCCCTTTTTTAAGATGAGATGGGGAAATTAATTAAAAATCACCATGAAAAAGATTCTCTACCTTGAATACAAATGAATGGTGAACCAATTATGGGGGAAATGCACACTGTGCTCAGTGGGGCATCTCAGTCAAATACCATTTTAATGTTAATGTCATGTAAAATTGACTGTTGGCTAATCCTTGTTTAATGTTCTTGTAACTATTAATATTGAGACATTTTCCAGCGAAATAATACATGATACATTTCATCACCTTTGTCATCATTGGTGTGCATGTTTTGTTGGTGAGTGTGCTGTGTGGGGGAATTTGGCGACCTAGCGGCAGGATCTGAAACAGCAGCTCCCTTTTGGCAAATTTTTCATGCATTTGACGAAGCAATCGCGTGCACAGGCCTAAGCTTGTGGTATTTGCATACAGTATTCACAGGCTGACTTATGCTGGATCGGGATGTTTAGAGGTGTCAAGCTGTGCTGTTGGAGACCAGTTGTAATGCACAGCTATATTTAAACTTCCCCTGGGGTGCCATTAAATCGTGTAATTTCTTCGTCGCGCCCCGTTGACCTCATTTTAGTATGCACATCATACAGCATTAACAGGAAAAAAAACATCAAAAAGAGGAATATTCAAATTTATATCCGTGCATATCTCACGTTTACGTTCAAGCCCCTTTGCAGACATGCTGATCGGATCATCCCAAATACATTTATAACAAGTAAGACAAGGTGATTTGTATTTGGATGGTAAAGTGGAAACAATGGGATTTAATTTGGGGAGTTATGACTGTACTGCTTCTGGAGAGCTGTGAGGAGGGAGACTTTGGTCAAATGCATAGTCTGTTAAGACCACCATGAGACTTGATTAAAGGGTAAAATGTTGATGGATGAACTGACTTTTATTTTGTCACGGAACATTTTACTCAGTTAAATAAACAGGGTTGACATACTCCGGTATCTCACTGTGTTTCTGTGTATTCAGGGAGACGGAACAGACCGAAGCATCACATTGTTCTTCAAGCCTTATTTGTAAACAGGCATTTGTATGGCTATGATTTCGACTGCTTGCCGCTGCAGTAGTCTTAATTTTGAGTCTTCACATCCGGAAGATTCTCCCTCGTTCACGTTGGAAGGAAGAAGGGGTAAAAGACAGATTCAGCAACAGATATTTATAGAGAGTGGGAGAAACTGGATGGTGGCTTGAAAGGTTACAGAGTAAGAGGGAGTGTCTGGGTTGTAATGTGGGAGAAAGATGCATTGAGTCGTTGCATGCAACAAACTGGGAGCCAGTGGAGAATAAAAAAATAAAGCAAGAACATTTAGAGATTGAGTTGGTGCTTTAATGTTGGCGTGGATCTTAATGATGTTCTGAAGTTCGTTTTAAAATGACTCACTTAGAGAGGCTGGGAGGGATTGTTTCTGCTTTCCTCTTCTCTTTTCATCCGACTTGAATCCTTCTGGCCCTCTTCTATAGAAAGCATGAATTATATAAATTGAGGATTTTGTTAGTGTTGTCATTCAAGGTGATTCTGTCTTCCTGAACTTTCATTCATGAGTGGGTGAGCCAGCGCAAAGACTTGATTCCCTCATGGCTGAATTAGATCACCAAGGAGGCCAAAAACACACTTTCCGTGAGGTAAAATGTGCTCAAAACTGCCTTTTTTTCCCGTTGTTTCCACCGAACCAACCACTTGTTCTCCTCCTGACAAATCTATTGGCCTTACGACACCGACTCTCTGCAAGGCTCCAGACTCCCAGTGAGGCTCCCCCTGGCTGTAATTACCGTTTCCTATCTACTTGTATCCAGAGTCCCGAGCAACTCGAGTGAGACTGCACATTAAATCAGCACTCCAGCATGTCGTAAGTCAGCCATACAGACAGTGTCTGGGACATTCACGTGTCAGACAGTGCCTCCTGGAGGTGAAGTCCTGCGGGGTGGTTGATGTATGGACCAACACGGTCTGATTTTAATGGATGATCTCTCCTCCCCTCAGCGGGCCAATCCCGAGTCACTGTCACACCAGGCAGAGGAGGATGGATGGCGGGCTGCCGTGTTGGGGACCGTGTGGAAAAAAATATTGTCTGGTGGATGTAAGGCTGATGGGAATCACAGCGGCGCATGCTGCCATTTTCTCGTGAAGCAGTGTCTTTAAGGGGCCCGAGCTGTCACGAAAAGGGATGCTGTGGGGGAAGAAAGGTGTTGGTGACAACTACGTTGCTCCTCGTGTGTGAAGCATCAGGCGTATTTTCTTCGTTCTACTGTATATTGCATCCATCCATTTTTTATATGATGCGCATCCTGTTCAAAGTTGTGGGGAGCTCGCTCCCATCGCAACTGACTTTGGGCAAAAGGCGGACTACACCCTTGACTCAATCACAGAGCACTTATAGAGTCACTAAACGCAAGCAGCCGGCATGGAATCGAATGACACTCCATAGTCTCAAATGTCAAAATGCATCAGCATGTGTGTAATTCCAATTTTTAAGATATGTAAGTAAGTAATTTCTCACTTCAGTTTGAAATATCGAGTGGGGAAAAAAACATCCATCCATTTTCCACCTTTAAAATGAAAATAGGATAATCACACTGTATAGAATAATTTGCCACACTGCAATTCAATTTTGTCACACCAAAAGAAGAGGCGTTTGGCCC